GGGCTGCTCCATTCTCACTTTCAGAATTCAGAAGCTGCGCACATATCCCTTACCCAAGACAAAAAGAGACCTTATGGCTTTACTAGGACTGTTCAATTTCTTCCACATCTGGATTCCCAATTTCTCACACATAGTTCATCCCCTCTGTGAGGCTACTAAGGAATCTACAGATGAACCCATTCTCTCCCCACTCTCACCAAGGCTTCACAGATAAGTTTACGCATGCCCTCTCCCAAGCCTCAACTCTGGTGTTCCCCGACCCTGTCAAACCTTTTTTCCTCTTCCTTCATTCTAACCAAGGGCAGGTGTTAGCAGTTCTCTGCCAAAAGGCAGGAGACACTTATGCTCCTGTAGCCTATCTGTCTGAACAGTTGGATATGGTCTGTAAAGGCTGGACCCCCTGCTTGCAAACCCTGGCTGCAGTCACCCTCCCAATATCTGAGGCTAACAAAATCTCACTACTTAGCCTGCTATGTTCTTTCCTCACATTCACTCAGAGATCTGCTAAGTCACAGAGCTTTCTTGTCCCTGCCCACTTTCTGAGTGCGAACTCTGCATGCTTTTCTTCTGGATCCTAACCTCATCTCTGAGCCCTTTCCCCCACTCAATCCTGCACCTTATCTAACACTCCTTCCCCGATGGACAGATATAGTCCAGTTCATTCTGGCTCTGAAGTTTTAAACTTCACCCTAAATCCTTTCTCCCGTATTCATGATTATCCTTTCCCACAGATGGTGGATTGGTTCATAGGTGGAAGGTCCCAAAAGAGATGCCCGCCCCCAGGCAGCGGGCTATGTTATTATCAAAGGAAATCCTCACCCCCCAACTTAATATATATACTCTTGTAGAAGCTAATCCCCTCCCTCCCTGCACCAACTCCCAACAGACAGAACTCACTGCACTGACCCAAGCCCTTATTTGACAGAGGGAAAACAGATCAACATTTATATTGATTCTAAATATGCCTACAATATCATATTACTCTAACATCTTATATGGAGGCAGAGAGGATTCCTAACCGAAAAGACAATGGCTATTACTAATGCTAACACCAAGCATGTGCAAAATTCAGGACTCAATCTTATATGGAGGCAGAGAGGATTCCTAACTGAAAAGACAACAGCTATTACTAATGCTAACACCAAGCATGTGCAAAATTCAGGACTCAATCCCCATTAACCACTGGGGGAAAAAATAATAAATACCAAAGGTTCATCCATATATTTAAGACACTTGACATTTCAAAACATCAAATATAGGAGAATACACAAATATACTTCACAGCAAAGGGAAGTATACATTAGGTCAGAATGTGTGGATTTAAACTCTGGATTTACCTGATTTTGTTACCTGCATAAATTTCCCAACATTTCTAAATGTGATTTCATAATCTACATAATACCTACTTAAGTGATCAGTAAGTAATGAAACCAACAAAGCAATTCCTTAAGATAACAGTAAAACAGGAGTTTTAAAAACCTAAAAACTTTTAAGAAAAGAATTTAATGTTTAAAAAAGATATCAAACTTGACAACATGGTACATTCTGTTAGACTTCCTTATGTTTGGTTTAGTGTGTTATTTCTAAAATTTTTAATAGCACATTAGAAGGAAGGAAAAGTGCCAAAGAGTGAACCTTTCAGTTCTTAGGGCTTGTTACAGACTGTAACCCAGCACTACCCACCTGAACCCATTGTATTTGCATTAAGTGAAGTCACACAAGAAAAACTGCATATGATGTCTTAAAACATGTGTCAATGTCATTGTGCTGGATAGCTTTACTGTCACCTTGACACACCTGGGTTGAGGGAGTTTCAGTTGGGGAATTGCCTCTATTGGACTGGCCTGTGGCCATGAGGGGCATCTTCTTGATGAGTGATGTGGGAGGTGCCACACTGTGCCACAGCCCACTGTGGGTGGTGCCACCCCTGGGCAAGTGGGCGTGTGTTGTATAAGAAAGCAGGCTGAGCAAGGGCCAGGGAAGCAAGCCAGTAAGCAGCATTCCTCCATGGCCTGTGCTCCAGCTCCTGCCTCCAGGATCCTGCCCTGAGTTTCTACCTTGGGCTTCCTGATGAACTCTGACCCAGCAGATGTAAGATAAAATAAACCCTTTCCTGCCCAAGTTTATAGTGGTCAGAGTATTTTGTCACAGCAATGAAGAAACAAACTCAGACAGTCACTGATTATTAGTGTTCCACATATTTCAGACTGAAAGCTCTTAACTCTGTCTTTATAGTAAAAGTCATTACATTTATATATTTTTCACTTTTGTGTTTCTAACTGTAGCTCCACAATAACATACAGACTTTAAGCAGCTAGTCCTTTAAACAGTTCTATGTCAATTAGTCCCTAGGTCAACAAATTATATTCGGAGCTAGATAATCATAAAGGAACAAAACTGTTTTCAGTACAAAAGTAGTTTTCTGCATGCTTTTAATTTTCATGTGGCCTTGCGGTTCTGATAAATTTCTATAATAGCATATAACATGATTATCTAAATATCTTAGGCATTCTATATTTAAACAGTCGAGTAGAGGATGGGTACGGTATCACATGTAATCCCAGCTTCACAGAGGAGGAAACAGGAGGATTAAAATGAATTCAGGGGCAACCGAAGCTACCTTATGTAATCCTGTCCCAGAAAACCAAGCACTGGGGAAATAACTTAGTATAAAAGCTTGACTAGGATATGCAAGGCCTTGGGCTTGATCCCCAGCACCATTAATAAATAAATGAATAAACAGTCAAGTAAAAGAAATGGAAATTATGTTATTGTATGATTATCCCTTTAATTACATTCTTTACAGGCTTACATGAGTGACAGAAGTAAATAATTGAGGGGGGCTAGAGAGTTGGCTCAGCAGTTAAGAGCACAGACTGCTCTTGCAGAGGAGCCGGGTTCGAGTCCCAGCACCCACATGGTGGCTAAAAACCACCCTAACTCCAGTTCCAGGGGATCCACCACCCTCTTCTGACTGCATGACACAGGTGTGCTTACATGTAGGCAATACACTCTTACAAATAAAACAATAAAATATTTTTTAAAAAGAAGTAAATAATTCAGAGATCTGAATTCAACCACTAGAAAATCCATGGAGGTCAGAAAAGAAACTAGTAAGGGGCCATACGGAGGGGGAAGAGGTCATAAGAGGAGGAGACAGAACGCAATGATATAAAGAGGAAAGAGGGAAAATGGAACAAGGAGGTGAGGGAGTAACAATGCGGTGGGAGAATGGAGACCAAGGGAGGGAATATTTGGAGGGATAACACTAAAAACCTGTTGAAAAGTTGTATGACAAACTACTACTGTAGAACCTTCCTAAAAATCACACACACACACACACACACTCACACACACACACACACACACACACACACACTCACACACACACACACACACAGAGGCACATTTTTTTAAATGGAGTTATGCAATAATGGAGAGACAATGCTCCTAACAGACACCACAGGCTAGCAAATAAAAAACACAATGCTAGGAATTAGCTCCCTCCTTTGTAGTTGTTTTATGGGGGAAAGTATCCACAGATCATTGAACAATGCTACCTATTGCAACTGCTCTTGGTTATCCTCTAGAACTTGACAGTAAGGACCTATTATTTAAGATACTGCAACCATGAGTCTGAGAACATGGAGAATCAAGCTGGTAATGACCTCAAAGATTCCCCTACTGGCTGACTTTCATAGTCCTGGAGGGTGCTATGCACACTACTAGAAAAGTAAAAATCAATCTTATCCAGCTGGGAACCCTGACAGCAAGAATAATTTTGTTAGGAAGGTATGCCCACTGATGCAATAGTGGCACATGTTATGGAAGTAATCACTTTCTGACTGAACATAAGGCTGTTTCACAAAATGAGGCTCATACCTGGCAGTTTCATCAGGGTCAAGAACCTGTGGCTAGACATGTCACAGGCCATGGAAGAGAATCTACAACTGTGACTCTGCTACATGGACCTAGTATTAAACTGACACCTAATAGCTTACTGTTATATCCATAGATTAGTACATCTCTCAACTCTCACCAGAGAAGCTTCTTGCAACAGATGGCAAATAGCACAGAGACCCACAAACTGGTCAAGGTGCAAATATAAGAAACAATGCAGTGCTGAGCCCTAAATGGGACATCTATATCACAGCCCTTACCCAAAAGTTCAAGGAGGTGGAAAGATTTTAAGTTCCAGAGGTGAACAGATGAATAGAATGAGAGTGTTTTCCAACCACAACAGGGCAATTGTACGTATTTACCCATAGCTCTGGCAATGGCATACACAATATCTGCACAAACCCAAGTCAGACAAAACCCCAACATGGACGGGAGAGGTGAACACAAAACAGCAGCCTTAGGTGAGAAACCTCTAGCAAATGATAGCTACTAGGAGAGGGAGAATCAGTTTTGTTAAGAATTGACATCAAGTAGGTTGACCATGCTGTGGGAAACAGATCAAAAGTGTTTGAGGAACACAAATTGGAACGTGATAGGCCTAAAAAAGAGGGAGAAGGAGGGAGTCGAGAGATGGATCTGAAAGAGACGAGTGAGGGGATTAAACTATGATCATAACACATTGTCTGAAATTCTCAAAGAATCAATTAGAATATTTTTAAAGCACTAATTATTGCAGTGAACAATGTATTTAAATCAGAGTATCCCAGTAACTCCAAAATGCACAGACTCTTAACTATAGACCTACGACTCCTCCATTCCTCATTACACTTAAGTCTTCTGGTAAGTACTCAACTGGAAAAGTACATGTGCCTCCTAGGTAAATGCATTTGGTTATATAACTCAGTACGAGTATTAGCAGATAAAATTAAATTAAAGGAGTACTTTTATACTAACTACCTATGTTTTGAAAGGCTATTCTGGGCTGAGCATATACTTTAGTGTTAAAGCTCATGCTTAGTATGTTCAAGATCCAGGTTCAATCTCCAAAACTATAAAAACAAAGCAATGTTTTAAAAGGCTATTTCATTAAGGTGGCTCACATTTACATAAAACTTCAATGACTTCAACTGTACCTCATCCTGAAGTTCATCACCACTTTTAACAGAAGCAAGCATATCATATAAGGTACAGCAAAGATCTTCTATTCTTGGCGCTTCAGTCATTTCCTTTAAAGTTGCACTCAAGTACTTCTCAACTTCACACCACAAAAAGGAACCATTTGTTTTTTCCACAGGCTTGAGTTCTGAGGTGCAGTGCTCCTGAAAATGTTCACTAAGGAACTTCTTGTAATCTAAGCTTATAGTTTTCTGGGCTTCACCATTTATTGGCAGTTCATCAAAGTGGTCCAGATCATGCATGTCAAATGAAAATGCTAAGTTTTTACCAAAAAGTACTCTACCACTACATTGGTTTTCTGCCATCTGGACAAGAGCAGTAAGATCATCTTGACTAAAATGAGAAATAATTCGATTAGTGGCATTACAAGCTGTGGTGGCAGATGACGATGGAAAGGGGCCAAACATCTGTCTGATAGCCTTTGTCTCCATGTGCCCAACAGAGTCCTTCAAGTGAAATGTCATAAACAGAAATGCAGCCCCACTTTCAATTGCTTCTCTCCCATTTTCCGTGCCAACTATTTAAAGACAAAAGAAACAATATTAGTTCAATTGAATCATTGTTCAACTTATCATTTAAAAAAAGAAAAAAAAAAAAAAAAACCCTTCCACAAATATCTTTGAGTTAAATCCAACAACCAATCAACTTAGCACAGAAAAATTCATTCCCAAATGACTTTAGGTAAGCAAACTATTACTAGTAATTATTCTATATTTAAACACAGAAGCTACCTAATAACCACCTTTTCTAAAAAATAAGACATTACTTAAAACTTATTCTTAATTTTTTAAATATTTTATCATTTTTATTTTACATGTATGAGTGTATTGCCTGCATGTAGGCAGGGGCACACACACATGGTGCAATGCTCGTGGAAGTCAGAAGAGGGCAGCAGATCCATTGGAAATACAGTTACAGACCATTGTTAACTGCCATGTGGGTGCTAGGAATCAATGCAGGTCCTCTGCAAGAACAAGCCAGTACTCTTAACCACTGAGTCATCTCTCCAGTCCCCAAAAATCTTATTCTCTTTTGGTAATATTAAAATATGTACTGTTTTTATTTTATGTGTATAAATGTATTGCTCTTTGTGTGTAAGAACACCTGTATCATGCAATGCCTGTGGAGGTCAGAAAAGGGAGTTGGATTCCCTGGAACTGGGGTTATAAATGGTTGTTAGCCGCCATGTGGGTGTGCTGGGAATCAAACCCAGGTCCTCAGCAAGAGCAGCCACTGCTCTTAACTGCTGAGCCATCTCTCCAGCCCCTTAAAAAGTTTTTTTTGGTTTTTTTTTTTAAAGTTACCTGTGGTAGGTAGTGCCCGAGGCAGAGGCAGGTGGATCTCTACAATAGCAAATTCCAGGCCAGCTGGAACTACAGAAAGACCTCCCAAAAAAAGTTTTTAAAAAGTTTAGTTTGATGACAACCAATAGTAAAAGATGAAAAATATCTGAATTACAGATTTGGAGATGAAAGGAAAACTCAAAGATTTATAGTTTTCTTTCCAGTAAGTACCATAAACCTCCAAGACAAGAAATACAAGAAATAAATACCTATAAATTTATACAACTCTCATTCAAAGCCATTTAAAAGCATCAGTACATACATAAGTTTAAAGTAAATTTAACCATACTGTAAAATATATAAGAAAGCCAACCAGAAAGAACACCCTTATGAAAATAAGAAGAGATAAAGAATCAGCCCCTGTGATTCAGGGAATCAACTTCTCATATCCAATTTTCTCAAATGAAAGGAAAAAGAAAAAAAGAATTTCAGAAATTTAAAAGAATATTGTTACAGCAGAAAAAACAAAAAATTTAAAATCTTCAAGAGGTCCTAATATCAATGTGTCCCACCCTAAATAATACTAATAAAGTTGGCAAGGCAATTAACAGCAGAATTATTCCTGAAAGAGTAACTAGTATTTCTCAAAAATACTGAAGAGTTTAGATAGCTGTATCTAAATTCCTACATGGCCAGGAACTGACTCTATTCTTTGTTTTCAGCCCTACTGTCTACTACACATTTTCTCCTTCAGCCAAAAAAGATGACTTACTATTAAAAGCAATAGGTCCTACCAGGCACCATGGCACCCATATACCTGACTACTAAGGAAACTGAGGCAGGAGGAGCACCTAATCCAGGAGTTCAAGCCCAGCCTATATAACATAGCAAAACTCTATCCTCAAAACATAAAATTCCCAAACTTGTGAGCAACACTAAATAAACTTAGCCACTTGTATGTGTATACATACCACACATATGCAATAATAATGATTGAAGATGAAGTCATGAATTTGAGAGGGAGTGGTAGAGGACACCAACGTTGCAAGGGAGAGAGGGAGATGTGGAAATGAAAACACAGTACTCATGTATAAAGTAAATAAAATACTTAAAGGTGTGATTTGAAAAAAAAAAAACAAAAAAACAGGAGGTCCTATTTTATGTCTACTTCCATATCCTCACTTATCACTGGCAGAAACTCTGATTTGTTTGAATCATATTCATGTTTCAATTCCAACTCTCAGCTACCTCTTCCCAGAGGAGTACAATGTTGTGCTTATTTTTATATTCTCTAACTCCACCTAGCCCCAAATGAGATCAACAAAGAATAGTTGACTTAAACTAAATCCAGCTCAAAGTGACATCAGACTTTTTATTTCTATGCTATATCACAGGGCCTTGTTTTTTTAATACATGCAATGTTTACATATGTTTTGAATACTAATAATTTGCATGTACAAATAAGCAATTTCATGTCTATTCCCAACTTTTTTCAAGGATAAAGTCTATTTCTATTATTACAATTTAGGGAACATTATCATGTTTATTTTTCTAGTATTAAGAAAATACATGGCCAATGTTTTCTGTAAATTATACAGTACTTTCAAACTCTTGTTTTATGTAAATGCTCTTTTATTATATACATTGCTTGACGATTTAGCTAACCACCATCCCTAACTCCAGTTCCAGGGGCTTCAACACCCTCTTCTCACTTTCATGGGCATTGCATGGCATAGGCACACTTACACACATGCAGGCAATACAATTTTCTTTTTTTTTTTTACCTTTTACAAAAACTTAATTGAGAATTTCATACATGAATATGAGATGTTTTGATCAAATCCATGCCCACTCCCTCCCCTCCAACACCTCCCATATCTCCCCATCACTTTTTTCCTTTTCTTTTCTCTTTTTTTTCTCTTCTTTCATTTATTTTTGGGGGCTTTTGGCTACTCTAACACTCCGCCCTCTGAAGAGGTAACCCTAAAATCTTTGAAGGATTAGATACAGGCTCCCAAATTCTTTTAACATTTTTGGCCTTTGGAACAGAGTATGCTGCTAACAGGCCCAAGGACATTTTGACTTTTAGCCAACAAACTGGCAACTTTTCTTTGGGGTCTTTTTACCATAACTGCCTAGTGAATTCCTACCTCCTATTCAATAAAATTAATGTTTTTAAATGGCATTCTTGTCATCTTTATAAAACAATTTACTAAAACTTCCACATAAAGTTATCTTACTTTGTCCTAACAAAATTATTCCCTATTTGTACATGCTAAAATGGGTATTTGAGCTGGAAATTTTGCTTCAGGAAAAAACAGCTAGGAAGTCATTAAACAAGAGTCATGGCAGCCTCTTTTTCTCCAAACACACTTTCCCTCGTCCCAGAGTCCTTTAACCACCTAAAAGTAGGTACGTTTTGAATTCTTGCTTACCAAAATTAATGATAAAATAAATAAATCACTTATTATGGCACAACCACCTATTTCGGCATAACACAATTTGTGTATCTTGACATAAAAATAAATTATGAGAAGCCATGAGTCCATTTACAATAATGAAAATTGTACACTCAGAAAGATCAACACAGATCAAAAACAACTCTTTCAAATTTCAGATCTTTTAAAGAGTACTGTTTTATCTATAAAATTTCAAAAATAACAGGTACTGTAAAAAATTTTAACTTAGGTCACGGTGTTTCATAAATGTTGATGTCCTTGCCTAACGAATAACTCCTCTTCAGGGCAACCTACTCAACCATATGTCTAAGTCAGGCTAAACACATATTTTCATGTAACGGTGGTTACAAATCACACAGTGCTACTCTAGAAGCTTCAATTTACAACACTGATTAATAGTATTTGTGGCTATGGATGACTAGCCAGGTAAAAGATACAGACAAGAGCATTCTGAAAACAATGAATTCTTCCAGGTACACTCAGAAGGCCTTCAGATGCTCTGCTGCCTTCCTAGGAACTCACGAGGTCTCTTTCTCAGCCCACATTGAGAGCTGCATTCCTAATGCTCTGGCTGCACAACAGAAAAGGGAAATGCTGCACTGTCCCCAGGAGAGCACAGCATTGGAATGAAGATGTGAAAAGAATCCCAAGCATGGTGGAGGTAAAGGAGCTGCCCCAATTTCCTGGTATGACATACTTATTGAGTCAGTGCTCAGCTTTCTGGTGCCAGAAATGTATAAAATATATGGGAATTGTTGTTAAACATAAAATCTCAAGAGCACTCAAACCTGACAGAGTTGTCTAGCAGGTCCTGCCTTCCCTCTACAAAATGGAATCTGAAGGGAAACCTGGAAGCCTCACTGTTAAGATAGGTGAACCACCACTCAAGAGGCCCTACTGGAAAAAAGGTGGGATTGGGAGAGTACCTCCAGGGTATGTCTAAACTTAGTCATGTACTTGTTTAAGCAACACTCAAAAATGAAGATGTTTCATTAACTTTGAGAATCTTATCCCCATATGACCTCTTATTCATCTCTATTATACATATAATCTAGTGGTAATATAGTACTAAATTATCTTTACAAATGATTTTCAGTTAACATTTACATGTATTTCTTCAGGTTTTTTTACTACAGGATTCATTTCGATCTGGTAATCTGAAGGGAACTAAAGGGGATTTAAAGTAGTTCATTTTTATCAGAAGGCAATTTAAGATGTTTTTAAAAAAGCATACTAAATAATCAATTGGCAAATTTCTGTATGAAACTTTATGAGACAGCTAGTCTAAAAACCTACCCATTTATATACCTAATTTTCTTTTTGGTCTTTTTGAGACAGGGTCTCCCTGTAGCCCTGTGGGAGACAGGCTTGAGCCTAGGGTGAAAGTCTTATTGACAGCCATACAGCAGGCCTGAGGCAACAGCCCAACCACTGGAGCTACAAGAAATGCCTTGTGACATTTGCTCCCATTGGCAGATCATGAGACTGATGCCTAGAGCTCAGGACTCCCTAATCATCACCCTTAGAATTCCAAATTGCAACACTTAGATATTGCAACAGTCAGGGTCAAGTGGTTTCCAGGAATCCAGGCTCTGTAATCTGAAACCCATTATGCTAATAACACATCCTACCTGCTATTCTGTGATAGGACGTTAAGTCTGTTATGCTAATAGGACACTGTCTGTTACACTAATAAGGTATCCTACTTGCTGTACTGTGATAGGATGCTAATCCTGTTACGCTAATAAGGTATCCTACTTGCTGTGCTGTGACTG